AAAAAGGTCCGTCGAAAAAAAAAAAATTGCGCAATAGGGCATGTACATGGGGAATAGCTGTTGGTTGTGCTGTGATGCCGCTCATGTTTGCCTGCAGTGAATGCTGGTGAAATCGACCGCCTACATGGGGAATAGCTGGTAGCACGGACAGCTGCGACCGCGGCTCGCACTCAGGCAGTTCGAAAAGTCCGTTCAATAAAAACAAAAAAAACAAATAGCTGGTTCAGCTGCGTTATGATTCCATGCTGCTGAAATTGGGCGTCTACATGGAGAATTGCTTCGTGCCCTTTGCACGTGTTTTCTACGGGCAGACTTCGGAATACCAGTGGTGGGACGACGACGGTGTCCGCCACGACGTACCCCAAGCAGAGGGATGCGAACAAGGTGCCCTGGCCCCCGCCTTGTTCGCTTTCGGCCAACACGATGCGTTATGCCGGGCAGACGCGCAGTTGCGGCAGGGCGAGTCGCTCATGGCCTTTTTCTGCTCTACATCCTCTTGCCCGACCCAACACGACGTGCCTGGCCGAAGCACTCGAAGAAAAAACAAACTCGAAGCCGAAAATGCGTTGCTCCGCCAGCTTTCCCTACCTGCCTTACCTGCAGTGCGCGTGGCTCCTCCTCAGCTTCTGCGCCACGCCCTGCACGAACCACGCGCTCGATCGTCCTCCCCGACCTCATGGCGCCATATGCTGCGGCACATGACGCAGCCAAAGGGGGAACCCCCCAGGCTTGTTTGCCACCGTGGGGGATGCTTGCGGCCGAAGGATGCCGAAGGTTGGACGGACGTGCCTTCCTGGAAGCTCCTGGCGCAAGGATCACGTCCGCCTGACCGACCTGAAGGGACCACCGGTGACTGGAAGCATGGGTGGCAACAGTGTGCGTCGCGTACACGGAACCTTTTCTTCCGCGACCATGTGCTGCTGCCTTCTGTGCGACCTCCGCTCTTGCGCTCGCTTTTGTCGCGCCGCTGCTTGGCTCCAGGCCATCCCCAGCGACCGCCACACCTCGCTCACCCCCGAGACAATGCAGATCGTTGCGACCTGAGACACGTGTGCTCGGTTGCGAAGTGGGTGGGCGGTGGAACGCCGACGCAGTACGCTGGTCAGGGACCGTTTTTTGCTTGCTGCTGGCGGGAAAATCGAAGAAAAGAAAACATTGCTTGGTTGCCATACTCTATGTTTTTGTGTAGTGGATGCGGCGTGTACATGGGGAAAACCATACTGATGTGACCATGATGTGATCCCCCCTCGAATTGCGTGTGTCTCGTAGACAGCTAGCTGTGTTACTGTGTTCCAACGAAAGTTGACGCGACGTAGCTGTGTCACGTGGCACTGCTGTGGCGGCCCTTCGCCTTCGCCGGCCTCAGGTCGGCTGCAGCCAAGCGTCGCAGAGCGGCCGCGGTAGTGACGGCCTGCTGACCGCAACCGCAACCATGCTCCATCAACGCCCCGCCCAACCTGCAGACGCTGCCGCTGCCCGGTTTGCCATCAGACGCACGCAGACTCTCGGCACCGTCCACGTAGCCTTGTGCCTTACAATGTAGAAAGCAGGGGCCCGTGCATCAATGCGTCATACGTCATTCCGATGCAAGGGCCGAAAGAAAAAAAAAACATAGAAACGCTTCTACATTTTTTTTGAGCGCTGTTTGCTGCAGCTGCTTTAGCATGAGTGTAGCGTTCGGACTTTCTGCATCTTTCTGCTTCCCATTTTGGCACTCGCGCTCGACCAGGTCGGGCCAAGATCCCAGATTCCCATACATGCGGGGGCGCCTTGAGCACAGGGGTATGAAAAAGCGAGGGCGCTGCGCAAACCGACGTGGGCGCAGGGGTGTCCACAGGTCGAACCTGCGATTGTCCGGTGCTCCGACGTTCGAGGGGGTGGCGCACATGGGCAGGACAACCTGCTGCGGAATGACTTGGCCGACCCCAGCGTGTCCCTTGCGGCGGGTCAGGCAGTAGTCAGCGCTCGTGGAAACCGAGTGTTACGAATTCATCTCGCCCGGCCCCTATACCACACGATCGTGAGCCATGGGAGCCCCGAGCAAGCAACCCCCACCCAGCAGCACAAGTACATCATCGTCCATCCCGGCCGGGCCGGTGACGTTGCTGCCCAACGCCCGAAAGTGGGGCCGGCACAGAACCGGAAGAGCGGCGAAGGCACGATCATTTCTGCAGAAATTGTGAAGACAGTGAAAGCCAAACGCTCGCACATGCTCGCACGGCCGGCCGAGGCGGCCGGCGGCGAGCGCTGCACAGAGTTCCAGCCAAAGGCCCGGTTACCCTTGTGTCTCACTTTCGGAGGCCCCCAGCAGTGAGCCTGCGGACGATGTCGTTTGGTTAATTTGACCTTGCTGCCAAGCCATGTGCGCGGATTGTTATTGGCAGTCGCAGGGTGCAGAAGGATTATGAGGGATTCGCAGAATTTCGCGGGATTAAAATTGGGGAGGCCGGCAGCCCGCGCGTTCAACACAGGCCATGCCAATTTATGTCGGCAACAGTCAACAGAGCCATCGCGAGCTGCCCGATCGCTTTGCACCGACACGCCGACGCCTGAGAATGCTTGACACAGGGGGGGGGCACCCTGTGAGTGCATATACCACGTAAAGCGTTGATTGTGCGGCGTGGTGATGAAAGGCATGTGGTTTAGATCGATTGCTTTCTGCGTGGTCGGGGGGGCATGAAGGGCCATCGCCGGTTTCATGTTTGGTTGCATCGTCGTTTGCTTGGTTGTGTTGCCTGTGTCGCAACGGATACAGTTTGTAAACATGGGTGAAGATTCAACATCCCCAGGTCAAGCAGGTTGGCTCGAGCGCCGAGACAACAGGCGACCGGCAACAGCAACGAACATGGATTCAAAGTTACCTCATGCATTGGGTTTGAACATAATGCAAAAAGATGTACAGTCAACACTGGAAACGCAGAAATTGCGCTAGCCGCCAGCATATCCTTATGACGGAGGACTTCGGCTACAACTCGTTGTGGTTGGAAGTCCAGGCTTCACGCTGCAGTCAGCGATCTGGAAACGTAAACTGCCTCCACTCAGCTGCCGCTCCGAGGAAGCGGCCGCAGCCTTGTTTGGCTTCCTGGACGTTTCGGCATTGACTGCTGCACGGACCGCTTGCCAGGGCCAAAATGCAGCCATCTCAGTCACCTGACAGCCAGGGGGCCAGAGGGCACAGTATGGACTTTTTGCAGAAGAGCCGTAGCCGTATAGAGCAGTGCTGGATTTCGAAGTGTTGGGACAATGTTGGGGACAGGTGTTGGCTGGAGTCGACAGGCGCGTCGTGACCCAATTCCAACATGATGCAACATGATGCACGGTGTCGCCATTGCTGTTGCACGCAGATTGCAGATGATTGTAGCAGGTTATTTGCCTTGCAGATGCGAGCCCTAGAGACCCAGAAGGTTGCCAAGGACAGGAGGTTGTCCGTCGGCATTCATTTCTTGATTGCGATGCTCGTGCATTTTGCTTTGTTGAATGTAGGGCAAGTGCGGATCGCAAGAGCACATCACACCCCAGGCGTGCTTTAGCAGCTGCTCGACGACTGGTACCACCGATGCAGCGGGTTCTGCTTCAGAGGCAGGCAGAGGCCAGCACTGTCGCACCATTGCCAGAACAGATTGAGGAGGACAGCAACGCTTTTATGGCTTGTACAGTATCTAGACCGGGAGACCAGTCCTATGACATTGCCAGGTGTGTTTGCAATCCAGCGAGCACCGGATTGTGCGAACAGAAGCAGTGCGCACGTTGCAAGAGGTGCATGCCACCGGCCATGACATGAAGGTTGAAGCATAGGCTTCGACAGCATCATGTTCCGTGTGAATTGGTGTTCGGAGGTCGTTGATCCAGGAGATCACGCGGCAGCACAAGCGTTGGGAACTGTGGTGCTGGATGAAGATCGTCAGGTGCCCAGTGTTGCTCAATGCCATTTTGATGCCCACGCATGTTTTGTCAACTTATTTTAGCAGGCCATGTTCTATCTTCCGACGGCTTCTGAGGTTTTGTACGTCGAGCCTTGGTCGATGCCCTTGTCGTCCACAGCGCTGATCCTAAAGCCAGATCAGCATTGCACGAGCTAGCGCAGGCTTGGCTTGGCATGGCCAGTTGTTCCCCGGACACGTTTGCCTTGCTTCGACGTGCATCAGGACCACGACCGTTTTGTCCAGAACGCAGCACGACACGCGATCTCAGAGCTCGGAGACGTGCAATCCGGTGAGACTGGCTAGACGTGCCCCCTCCCAGCCAGTGTTGCAGAAGTCCAAGTATAGTGCATTCAACGTTCAGTGGGAGCAGGTGGGCAGGAACCATGAAGAATGACGGAAGCAACGGGAACTTGAATGAGCACCGCGCCATTGAGTGGCACGACAGATTTACGGGGATGCCTTCGAGCAAAGCCAAAGCGCCTCCTCATCATCAGCTCCAAGCGCGAATTGCGAATGTGCGAATCGCACTTTTCACTACTCTGATCTCGGCTCCAGGTCCCGCTGGTGTGTGCCGAGGATTTGTTCAAGATTTCGCAATGGCGGCAGTAGTTCTCACACCGCCCGATGTTGTATGCAAGCTGTGCGGGTGCGGTGTATGTGTGTGTACGTGGCAGATTACCCCATCTGGTCGTGTGTGTCAAGCGTGTCGACGCAAGTGGGCTGAAGATCAGAAATGGAAAGTTGGCGGCAGCCGGCCAAGCTACGCTTAACATGCTTAGCACTGTTGACCCAAACGTTGATCGCAGCACTCACCAGACTTACTGGCAACTTGTTTTTCAATCTTGCTCCAGTGGCAGCGCGGCACGGGGGATTGCATGCTTTCATGATGGCATAGCTTACCACACAGATGGAAGAAGACAGGAAACTTTCACAACCTCAGCAAGCAGGATAGATTGGGCGCTCGCTACACAAGACATAGGGCTACATATGACTACACAGGGGCTTAGGCAGGCCTGGATCTGCCATCGTCAGCATCTTCACCAGTCTTTGACCCAATTTCTTATGACGAGAATTTCAGAATTGCGGCAACATCGCAGTAAGAGCAACGCAATGATCCTTGGAGCTGGGCCACCGGCATCCCCAGAAAGCCTGCTTCTCGGTGTCTTGTGAGTTGGGAACGTGTTTGTTTACGCGTGAGTTTCCCTTATGTAGGCTTGAGGCGAAAATGTCGCGAGCAAGTGGTCCTCCCTATGTGCCACGACCCCCACCAGGCCAGCAGTGGATTGGATGCTCGGTGGATTTGCCTAACACTTGCCTGAGAGTTGCGCAGAGCAGGCCGCACCGTGGTCAAGACTGCGCGGCGGTTCGTTGGCGGAAGCTTCCGGCCCCAAAGTCGGTGGATCGGCTCAGGCTGCAAGATACTGTGCCCTGCGGATTCGGTGGGCATAATTTCGAAGTGAACCCCGGGTCACTAGTCGCAGCTACGATCAGTAGTCCCTCGCAGTGCAGTCTGAGTCGTGGAGCTTCAGCCTCACAACGGCCAGGGGTTCTTCGGACTTCGGACCGTCCAGAATATTTCCGCCGAAAGTCGTACCAGTAGTAGCCATGTTTTCGTTTCATTTGGTTTTGCAGCAGATTTCCGTGATACTTCAGGGTCCTTTGCGCAATCATCGGACGAGATGCGCTCGCTGAGGCCAGTAGGCCTCCGGGCTCCCCCAGCCCAGAAGGTGCCGCCGCCCAGACTGTGGATAGAGGACGGTTCTTGTCCAGTATGACACGGACTTTCAGAATTCTTTCCTAATGTCTATTCCGCATCCATGCCTTCGCGGAGGATGCCAATGCAGACACCGACTGTTCCGAAACTGAAGTGTGCCTTGTCCCACTTATACGCTGGGGAGACAGGGTGGCTTGCTTTGGCGATGTGCTTTAGAATGCAGTAGATGCATCAGTCAAATCTGAGCTCAGGCGTACCGGCAGGTGCCAGCGGCTCAGTGCAGAGCCGCGCCCTCAGCTGTGACGGCCCGTGCCCGGTCAAGCCTGCTGAATGCAGGGAGTTGCTGATGGTTTGTGCTCTGTGTCAAGTTTTGAATATTCTGCGCAGAGCAGTCTTGTTGCATTCGTACCTGAGGTATGCAGTTATTGTTCCGGAATGGGCCGATGTACCTCGAGCCATGGCTGTCTCTGGGGACGAATTCGTCAGCCCGGGCTCCCGGCACCAGGGCTCCGAGAGCTTTGACTATTCGGTCGTTTTTTTGGGTGAAAGGCTGTCACCCGGTGCCTGGCGGGGTGAAGCTTCTTCTGCGGCGCTCCGCAAATCCGGCCCGCGAGCCGTCTCCTGCCCAGCCCTTGGTTTTGTCGGCACATACTGTAAGATGGTTTTCCAACAACATGTCAAGCGCGGCACGGATTGTAATCTAGCAGCACCGTTGAGATGAAAACAGTGGTTGTGGTCGGAGCGATGCGGAGAGGGTATACGGCTTGTGAAGTGTAAGATGTCGGCATATACAGATCAGATTTGCGCATGCTTGCCGCTAGATCCGCTAGAAGAGTATGCGCACCAAGCCTCACAACAACAGTTAACTTGCAACGTGCTCACTTTTTCAAGTTTTTTCTCCGCCGAGCGGCGCGAAGTTAACTTCAGCCCGGGAATTGGATGAATTGAGTGTGTGGCGGTTTTTTGATACATTTGAGTGATTTCGGCCAGGACTATACGGTTGCAGACGTGCAAGGCACGCTGGAAGAACTAGAGCAGGAGCAGATCTGCATTGTAGAAGGCATGCTAAATGCACCGACAGTTACTCACTGCTCTCGCAGGAAGTTCCAGAAGTAGACGAAGACCAGTTTGATGAAAACCAGTGGATGAATGGCAATCGACTCCAATGTCTTGCAGAAGGCCTGTGCTCTTAATGTGTGCGCCCGAAGACGTGCTCAGTGAGCGTCTGTGGCTTGGAACATGTGTTCCAAAGCCAGAAGCTGTTTGGCGGCCTTTGTTCTGAGCGGTGTTGCGGAGGTGCCGAAGTCTGCCCTCCATCAGAAGCCCGCCGGCGTCCCGCTGCACCAAGACGCCACGAGAGAGGCCTGCAGTCTGCTTTGTGGCTTTCACGAGCCGTCTCTACGTGATCTGTCACGAGCCTCAGGTGAGTTCAGCCGCTCCGCATGGCCAGACGGTCCTAGACGGTTGCCTTTGGACCGACCACGATCTGCCCAATACACGCGTGACATCAAATACAAGTCGCCCTACTCACAGCCACGACCGTGCTCTGCCGGTGCGATGAGGGTACGATCCGGAGCCGGACGGCCATCCTCAGCGAGACCAGCCTCGCGGCCGTCTTCCGCCAGGCCATCCTCTGCTAGGCCATCGTCGGGCAGGCCTTCATCGGCGAGGCCCTCGTCCGCGAGGCCCTCCTCAGCGAGGCCCTCGTCGGGAAGACCCTCCTCGGCTCGGCCTTCCTCAGCAAAGGCCGCCATAGCTGCTGAGCCTCCTCACCACGCTAGCCGGCCAATGTCAGCACCGACGTGTATGGCGGCGAGGCAGAACAGTGTGGTCTCAGTACCGAGGCGTCCTGCATCAGCTATGCCGGCTACATGCTGCCCAAACGGAAAGGGAGTCAGCATCCTATTCCAGCAACAGGAGTTCCTTGGGAAACAGATGGCAGCGGAACGAGGACTTGACTCGAAATCGCCAGGCTTTGCCATGCTAATGCAAGACTGGGTATCTTCCTACCAGAAGACGCGCGTCCGTGCTCGAATGGCCTGTCGTCCTTTGTGGGGCGAAGGCACGAGCCTTCAAAGAGGGGGCGGCTGGGGGTGATGAGATCAGGTCGATCAGGAAGGTTGTGGAGTCAAGGTGTCTAGTTCATGTACAATTTGTGTTTTGGGAGCGAGGAAGGCCTCAACAGAATTTCCTGCAGCTGGCCAGGAAGCGATATTCAGCTCAGCTTCCCAAAGCCTCCGCCCCCGGCACGGCCACTCTCAGCACCTACCCGGCGGAACATCGACGAGGAGTTGCAGCAGTTGGAGGAAGCACTTCGAGGCGCTTCTGTGAGGGAAAGAAAACTCCAGGCATAGTCCGGTTTGGTAAAGTTACCAAACCCCAAACCCTCAAATAGGGCAGACGCAAGTTAGTTTAGACATAGAAAGCACACCTTTTATAAGGTCTATTTAGGTTAGACACAGAAAAACAAACTTTCGGAGTCCCGGGTAGGCGCAGGAGATTTTAGACATAGAATACAAATTTCTTGTAGGGTTTATTTAGTTTAGACACAGAAAAACAAACTTTCGGGGTCCCGAGGAGGCGCAAGTTAGTTTAGACATAGAAAACAAACCTGTTGTAGGCTTTAGTTTAAACGCAGAAAACAAACTTTCGGAGTGCCGGGTAGGTGCAAGTTAGTCTAAACTAAAAGCACAAACCTTTCATGGGTCTAGTTTGGACATAGGAAGCAAACCTGTTTAGGTTAATCGCATAAAACAAACTTTCGGAATCCCTGGTTTGGTCTAGACACCTTTGACTTCCTGAAGTGCACACGTATGACTTAGTCTCTCGGAAATTTGTGTCGATTTCGAGTTCCGTAATCTTCTTTTTCTTGGCTTTTAGCCTCCCTAAGGCGATTTCGTGTGGCTTCTTCCTTCATGTTGGAGAAGATGTTGTTGTCTTTTCGGTTATACAGTGTTTAATTTCCTCTCTTCGCTCTAAACCCCCTGAAGCGATTTCGTCTGGTTGAATCCTTCGTGTAATCTTTGGTTATACAGTATTTACTTTCTTTTCTTCGCGTTTAACCCCTATCCTTCCCAGACTTTGTTTTTCGTAAGAAAAACAAACCGTCCCTCC